CTATGTCGACGACATGCTATATTCAGTGTGGAGACCGAGGAGGAAGCCGTGCAGCTAGCCAATGAGTTCAAGCAAAGTCACGACGTCCTTGCAGGAGGGCACCACCACGGAGAAAAACATGAGCCTATGTACGGAGATGGCAACGGAGAAGGTGCTTGGAATGTGGTGGGACACCGCCACCGACACGTTCACGTTCAGGATATCACCAAAACATGATGCGGAGCTGTTGTCCGGAGTCAGAATGCCCTCGAAGCGGGAAGTGTTACGGACGCTGATGGCGATATATGATCCGATGGGACTTATCGCCATTTCCTGATGTATTTGAAAATTCTCCTACAGGAAATTTGGCGCTCTGGGTGTGCTTGGGACGATGAAATCACTGGAAAACTGGCTGAGAAGTGGATGATTTGGATCGCGGTTTTGCCTGACGTACGTAAGGTGAGCGTTCCTCGGTGTTACCGATACATCACGACTGCTGAAGCCACAAACGTTGTCCAACTGCACGTCTTCTGCGATGTAAGCAAAAATGGAATCGCTGCCGTTGCCTACTTTAGATTCGAAGAAGCTGGAGTCATAGAATGCACTATGGTCGGATCAAAAACACGGGTAGCACCGTTGAAATTCCTCTCGATTCCACGTCTAGAACTACAAGCTGCTGTAGTCGGAGCGCGTTTGGCAGACAGCATTGCAGGCTCACACCGGATGAAGATTTCACGCCGAATATTCTGAACGGACTCCCGCGATGTGGTATGCTGGATACGATCCGATCACCGACGCTATAGCCAATTCGTAGCGTTCAGGATCAGTGAGCTGCTGGAAAGCACTGCAGGGGATGAGTGGAGATGGGTGTCTACGAGATCGAATGTGGCTGATGACGGAACGAAGCGGCAGAGGCTGCCGGACTTACAACCTACGAGTTGCTGGTTCCTCGGACTAGACTTCCTATGGAAACCGGAAACCGAATGGCCAGGTGAAGGCGAAGATCCGGGGACGACTGCAGAAGAGATTCGTCCCAGCGTTCTTCATCACATGATCACGGAACCGCTGGTGTACTTCGAGCGTTTCTCCAAATGGAAGCGGCTGTTGAGAACGGTCGCATATGTTCACCGATTCATCATGAACCTCCAAAATCGAACCAATCTGATACCCGTCGAGCTAGGACCGCTTACGCAAGAGGAGCTGAATAGTGCCGAAAAAACCATCTACCTTCAAGTGCAACGGCAAGCATATCCGGACGAGGTTCAAATGCTAAGCCACGTGGGTCGGGACAAACAGCCCTGGGAACGCATCATCCCGAAGACCAGCCTGTTATACAAGCTTAGCCCGGCCATCGACGCACACGGTGTACTACGGATGCGCGGACGAATCGAAGCTTGTGAGTGGGTAGATGAAACCGTCAAGAATCCGATCCTGCTTCCGAAGCGTCATTACATAACCGATTTGGTGACCGCCGATTATCACAACAAGTACCGTCACCAAAACCATCAAACGGTGATGAACGAAGTAAGGCTGAAATACTTCATTCCCCGGCTTCGATCAGAGTACAACCGTGTCCGTAAAAATTGCCAACATTGCAAGGTACGTCGAGTAAATCCGCAGCCCCCTGCCATGGGAAACCTTCCTCCCGACCGTTCTCGTACACCGGAATAGACTATTTCGGCCCGATGTTGGTAGTAGTCGGAAGACGAGTTGAGAAACGGTGGGGTGTTCTGCTGACCTGCTTGACGACAAGGGGTGTTCACATCGAGCTCGCACACTCTCTCACGACGGATTCCTGTATTCTTGCTCTACGAAACTTTATCGCGAGAACAGGATCCCCGCTCGAGATCATTAGCGACCGAGGCACAAATTTCGTTGGAGCTTCGCGGGAGCTACGTGAAGCTTCGAAGAATGTCGACGAGGAGAAACTAATGATCACCTTCGTCGGGCCGAAAACCAAGTGGACGTTTAATCCACCGGCTGCTCCGCATTTTGGAGGCTGTTGAGAGCGATTAGTTTAACCCTCCGCGGCTACCGACCGACGAGATCCTTCGATCAATGCTCATGGAGATCGAGATGATTATAAACTCAAGACCGCTCACTGACATACCGCTAGACACCGACACTGAGCCCCGCTTAACACCTAACCATTTCTTGTTAGGGTGTTCGAATGGAAGTAAGCCCCCGATCGCCTTCGACGACCGACCAGCTACCCTGAAGCAGTCGTGTAAGATGTCTTAAATGTACGCTGACGAGTTCTGGAAGAAGTGGGTGAATGAGTATCTGCCGACCCTTACTCGCAAGACGAAGTGGTTTCAACCCGTGAAACCTATCCAGGAAGGCGATCTAGCCTTGATCGTAGACAATACCCTTCCGAGGAACTGTTGGCCACGAGGACGTGTCGTGAAGGTAGTCCAAGCCAAGGACGGACAGGTACGACGGGTAACCGTACAAACGGCGCACGGATTGCTGGAAAGACCAGCGATCAAGGTTGCTGTCTTAGACATCGGTGCCAACGATGGTAAGCCACTTCAACAACATCGGCGTACCGGGGGGAGTGTCACAACCCTGCAGGATGTGGCGCACCTCTCTACCTTCATCAACCTTGACTTCGAACAACGCCCAGCTCCGACCCTGGTTCTCGAACTGTCAACCGCTGCGACGGTGACGTGGCATTGTCGTCGTAAGTAAATAAGGTTTGTGATCTTAAAGTGAACGTGGATAGCTTAATATTATTGTGGTCAGTGCCCAGTTTAACTATTATACCGATTAGCCTACAAAACATACACAAAGTACAGTTCCTCACAGTAATTACACGTATTACACGAATAGTACGGATGATTTGCGCAAGTACGGACAAATTCGTTGCAAGCAAAGACTAAACGAATTTTATAACATCCTGCGAAATAAACGGTGTTACAGAATCGGAAATTTGCCTGTTTGTCATGTCCATTCAATCACACATCACATATATTTCCATGTCAAGTTAATTCTATTAACATACAATTTATTTACAACTCTTTACATATTTACAAGGTTTATTACACAACCCACATAACATATTAAATCCTTGTGGCTCTATTCTATCCATCCTTCTTTTGTTTGATAGCTTCAAAAAATATAGCTTACTTGTACCAGATTCTCTGTCATTTAATTAATTTTTCAATGGCTTAGGATTAGATCAATGCAAAGAAGAACCACGGGCAAGATTGTTAGCAATTTAAATATTATTTTATGTACAATGAGCAGTGAATAATGGAAATATCGACTCTTCATGTTCCGTTTATGTTTCAACATCCAACATTTATCGGTAATTTAGATCCACAGCTAGATAGGGTTTTGAATCTAATTTCCGTTCTACTAATCATAACCCACACAAAACCTCTCTTTTTCGAACGGATATGAACTCAAAAATGGAGTGATTCTACTATATATGACTTCCAAATTTATTTAACTTTCTATACGTACCGTTGGATTCGATAAAAAGTCACAAATTATTGAGATATTTTAGAAATCTAACACTGCATCTTGACTGCAAATTCGTTCTACGAGTTTCAGTTTCGTCCTAACGCATTGAAACGCCATTGGTTTTTTTAGGTTTTTCTTCGTCTTTTTTTACTAGGAGCGCTTCTTTTGTTTTGAGAACAATGAGTATAAATATTCATACAACTCACTCGTTTACGCATCGAAACAAACGTATTATTGATTTGTGTACGGTGAAGTCATGGATATTATTGAAGGTTTCAGCTTGATAGAACGGAAATGGGAGATTACGACGAAGTAGCGCTCTACCCTATTCCTGGCATTGAATGAGGGCAAACAAACAAAGAAGCTCATCATATTTTAACTTTTCAAAAAAAAAAAAGACAATGCGGTAATATAAATCATGGTGCCAATGAAAAGCATACAGCAAATCATGGGAAGAGGAGTTGTTTTTTTTTATCACTCGAAAACTATAAAAGCTCATCAAATGAAATGGATGATTGAAATGAAAACTAATTGACATTTGATAATTATTTCAAACAAAACCATTTGATGATTGTGAATTAATTATTAAAGCCATCACCAATAAACATTTGCCGGATCAACCCGTGCACAACACCTGTTATGTCTGTGTTGAGACATAACAAAATCACTTTCCACCAAATGTCCCCTAAAGTAGCCCTTCGAGTCTCATTTGTACTGGCCGTTAAGTTAATGTCCATTTAAATCTTTATTTTCTCCACTCTCATTTTTTTGTTTTTGTTTTGAGTGTGACAAAGTTATCCACCCTCGCCGTTCATGTCCTTCACTGGATGTAGTGAGTTAGTGGTGGGACCGAACATTGCGAATCCGAGGGAATGCTACTGACTGACCGGCCAACGAAAGAATAACGCCGGACGGACAGAAGTGTTTTGTTTCACCTTTTTTCCTCCGAAATCACGTTGCATCGAGCGCGTATAACATTTACGACACGAAGCTGTTGTTTCCTTGGGTCCACAACTGACAGAGGACTTGTATTTCCAAGGGAACATGAATGGAGGCGGGTGGTGCGATGGTGGGATAAAACGTCATGGTCATTAAAGTTAATGAGCGCTACAAATGACTCTCGCCGTTTCCATCATGCACAATCCGCACGGAAAGATTTGATGCATTGTCTCGGAATGGGGAAGGCGTCTCGTGGAGAACAGTTGTTCCACTTGAAGATGATTATGTTTATTTTTTTTTTATTTTTTTTTGTGCTTAAAAAAGACAAGGGCAATGAGCATGGCTGCTGTAATTGGGAAAGATTGATTGACGTTCCATGAAGGCATACTGAGTTACTTTTGTTGAATCATCGATCTAGATGGCGAGAATAGTTCATTATATAACTCATACGTGTCCGTCATTGCTAATTTTAATCTAAAGCCATTATAGTTTTGTATTATAGATATGCAGCCATTTTCAGCATAGTTGTCCCATTTGTTAAAACCGCCAATTGAGATAAACGCTGTTAAATTTGTTTTCTCTAAGGGATCTTAAGGATGGGACAACATAGTTTTACCGCAGAGCATGGAAATCGGGACACTTATTCCATAAATCCGAACACTTTAAAAAGTTGATTATCAGTTACTACCATGACTGAAATAGTTCAGAATAATCACACATGGTTATCATGTTGCAAAGTAGACGTCATATTTAATCAAACATGAACTGTCCGGATTAACGAACCGCCCGATATTTTCTGAACGAATTAGTATAACATATTCTTCAAAAATACTTATACAGATTCTCGAATTTAATCGTCGGAAGTCTTTTCAAATGATTTGCATCGTCTTATGATGAATTTATTACATTTCTCGTAAGAAACATATCCAACGGATATGTTAATCCCCTACTAACATTTGCTATACTTGCTGTGAATGGTTCACAATTTCAAACATATTCTTCCACTCTCACTACACTACCTTTCCAATTTCAATCGTTTCTTCTTATCCTTATTTTTACCATACCGTAAGCAATCATACTTTTCTTTCATGTGCTCAAGTCGCTCAGCAACGTGCCTCAAATAAAACTCAACACGGTCAAACCGTTTCTGTAGTTTTTCCAACCTTACCGCTTGCTCATTAGCATCCACATATGCTCGCTCTATTCCCCGAACCTCGCCGTACGCCGTCTCCAGATGTTCCAGTGATTCGGCCAAGCCCAATGCCAAACCGTCAAGCCGGTCGTTATGACAGCACTTTTGCTCAAAGCACACCCCCAGCAGGTTCACATTCCCACCCACGAAGTGATATTTCAAGTCCCTCAGGCGATCACAGTTCCAAGGATTATTCGCTACCGAAATGTTCAACACTGTGGGAAAAGCTCGCTTGAATTCGGCCCCATTTAGCGACTGCAGCAGATTGCCATCCAAATTGATCGATTGCAAGTTGTCGAATCGCCACCACTTGGCATCCAATTCCTGTAGTTGATTGTTCTGAAGTTCCAAGTTCCACAAGTTCTTCAGCGTGAGCATTGCGGTTGTTTCGAGCTTCTTGATTCGATTGTTGTGCAACCACACTTCAACTAAATCTCGCCCGTTTTCGAATGTCTTCATCGGAATCGCCTCCAGTTGGTTGTCGTGTGCATGGAGATACTTCAGTTTGCTTAATTTCCGAACGAAGGAAATATCCGTCAGTCGGTTTCGGCTCACCTTCAGAATCTTCAGCCGAAACAGTTCCTGACCTTCGATAACGTCCATCCGCTCGATTTGGTTGTCTTCCAGTATAAGAATTTCAATCATCTCCCGTATCACGAAATCCTGCACACCGGAGTTCATGATTGCCAGCATGATGGTTTCCTGGCGCAACATTTGGGCTACCGATGCGTCAAAGTGTGGCACATAGCCGTGGTTGATCATGAGGTTGGTTGCCGGGAAAAATATCTGATTGCGATTGGTGTCGCTAGTGATGGTGCAGTTTTGCAGTTCGCACACGTCGGTGGCTCGGGGCCCGCACTTTAGATTCCAGGTGATTTCCGGAGGAACAGCGGCGTAGATCCAGTACCATAGGCTGGAAGAGTAAGATTAGGTATCAAATTGGAAGGGAAGTTGCTAATGATTAATTCTATGATGACTACAAACACTCCGAAAAGATCCATGATTAATCGCTGATTATCAGATTGCAGCTGAGATCAGTTGCATTAAGTGAAGAAAAGTTGTCATATGTATGTAGAGCGCGATAATAGCTGTAATCACTCATAGTTGATTAGATAATAAGGATGATAAGGATTATATAGATAGACATTAGTCGGTTGTATTTGGTTGTGTTGTGTTCATCAATACCCCACGTTATTTGCAAAACACACTATGTTACACATGCATAGCAAGAGAACTGTGATAAGAATTCCTAGGGAATCTCAAACTGAAGATAGTTCCAAAGGATTTCTAACGAGAATATCTTAGAGTTTCAGGAATAATTGTAAGGGAACAATAGTAGTTGAACTTCTGAAGAAGCGTGGAGCATTTTCAAGAGAATCTCAACGGAATTTAAAGAACTTCTCGTAGGAAATTTTCAGAAAAAAATTGGAAATCCTGAAAATAATTCCCAGATAATTCTAAAAATAATGATGATTATCATTCCATAAAATCGTCAACCTCATCGAAGCGCAGTATGAGGCTTTCACGTGCAGAGTTCTGCATAACGGAGCCTTGTCCGACCCTATCCGGGTAGTCGCTGGTGTGAGACAAGGATGTATACTATCACCGCTACTGTTTCTCATCGTAATCGACGAGATCATGGTAGGTGCAATTGACCGTGTACCGAACCGTGGGCTTCTTTGGCAGCCTATCACCATGGAGCATCTCAACGACTTCGATTTGGCTGATGATGTTGCTCTACTAGCACAACGGCGCTCTGATATGCAGAGTAAGCTCAATGACCTAGCCGAACGCTCCTCTGCGGCGGGTCTCACAATCAACGTCAACAAGACCAAATCGTTGGATATCAACACGGGCAACCCTTCCAACTTTACGGTAGCGGGGCAAGCAGTGGAGAAGGTCGAAAGTTTCCAATATCTTGGCAGCCAAATAGCGTCGGACGGCGGGACCAAGAGCGACATAGGTGCACGAATCAAGAAGCCTAGGGCTGCCTTTGCGAGTTTACGAAACGTATGGAGATCCAACCAGATAAGTCAACGCACCAAAATCCGAATTTTTAACTCGAACGTGAAATCTGTGTTGTTATACGCCAGCGAGACGTGGTGTGTATCAGCGGAGAACACTCAAAAGCTGCAGGTCTTCATCAACCGATGCCTGCGGTATATAATTCGTGCCTGGTGGCCTCACAACTGGATCTCGAATGCCGAGCTCCATCGTCGATGTCATCAGAAGCCGATAGCAACAGAAATTTGAGAGCGAAAGTGGAGGTGGGTCGGCCAAACACTTCGACGGGGCGGAAACGAAATCTGCAAGCAAGCGCTGGATTGGAATCCAGCAGGACATCGCAGCAGAGGCATACCCAGGGGCTCATGGTGGCGGAGCCTCAATAAGGAAATTAAGCAAGTCGATAGAAATCAAGAGGTCAAGGCAAAAACGAGCAGCCGCCCAGGATGGAAGTCTTTAACGTTGGCCCTTTGCACCGCTGGTGGTGCACAGGACCCTTAAGTAAGTAAAATCATTCCATACAAATCCTGATTAATATTCCAAGGGACTTCTGGAAATAACTCCAGGTATGTAACAAGCTTCAAATCGTAATCCACGACAAATAAATGACTGTATTCATTGCTTAAATATACCATTTGTATTACTTCAAGGCATTTTAAGCTTATTGCTTTTTCACCTTAGAGATGCATTAGCCTACAGCTAAAATCTCTTTAATCAAGATTTATAAAGAACTTTTTAACCTTCTTGACCCGGTTGTATGAAAATATATTTTCAAATTCATCGATTATGGAACACTTCTAAATTAACATTATAATGATTCCCTTTGCTTTTCAGCTCTGTGGTGATGGAACATCTTTAGATTTATATTGTAATGATTCAATCTTTTTAGCTTTCGCCCTGGTTGAATCTATCGACTTGATTTGTTTAAATTAGTTTTCAGCTCTTTGATGGTGGATCTTTGTATTTATATTATAATGGTGATTTTTTCAGCTTTCGTTGAGACAAATCCAGAAATTTAGCTTAACATGAAAAAATTCTCTTAATGGATCACAGTAGGCCGCGCTTGAAAGCTGACGTGTTTTTCTTTTGCTGCGTATTTTTTGTCAGTGAATTAAACTTTTTTGACTTGAATTTGTTGATTTGTGTGCTGAAATTTAGTTTCAAGTATTCATAAAATTATCATCTAGTGATATATCGTGTTTTTCCTGTGTTGAGGCGTCTAGTTTTGAAGCCAAAATATAAGAGAAGAATATAGCAAGTGAAAAATAGAAACATGTAGTGACAAAAGAAAGAAGCAAGAAAAAAAAAGGTCCGTCTTGAGTGCTTCGGTTGACCTTGAATTTAACCTCCAAAATCCACGTCGCAGCTTTAGTTCAATTGTTTGGTGTCGGTTTAATTGCCTCCCGGGAGCCCGGGAGCCCGGTTCTCCGAGTTCGGATGCCACACTTTCGGCGCGTAGTTCTATTGAGAGATTCGTCACCGCGGACGAGTTTTAATCCGGTCCGATTAGAGCTATTCTCTACAGATTGACGAATTTTTTATTTTTTTTTAATTTGTCGGCTCCGATTTTGATGAAAATTTGCACAGTTGTTCTTTTTTAGTAAAGATGCCAATTTGTGTTATCAGTTCTTCAAATTGAATCACGACTACTTTTCTAACAGGGCCTGTGTAAAAATAGTACTAATGAGTTAAAAAATTATATTGCTGAAACGCTTTGTTCGATTAATTTGGTGTCTTGAGCAAAGTTGTAGATATTATTTTGGCAATAATGTTAAAAATATACACTGTAAAAAAATTCGTTTGTTTCAATGAAAAAAAAATATATTTCTCATTAAAAAAATTTATTTCTCAAAAAGTACATTTTTGAAAATTTTCGTTTTAAGCCTCATTGAAGCTCATAATATTTGCTGGCAAAGTTTGGTGATGGTAAACTCAAAAACAAAAAAGTTATGATTTTTTGAAAATTTCACGATTTTTACATTTCCATTAAAAACACATGTTTTTCAACCGTGTATATTTTTTCAAGAATTGCATTTTCACAACTTTCTCCAAGACACCAATGCAATCAAGCAAGCCGTTTTTGCAATATAGATATGTTTATTTCATTAGTGTTTTTCTACACAGGCCCTATTGAAAAGTTAGGATTCATTACATCTGATACCATGAAAAGGTATCGTTACTAACAAAACTAAAAAATTCATTTGATGAATATTGAGCTAGAACTAAATAAAAGTGAAATGATGCTCAAACTAGCGATTAATTTTCTTTTTTATTCATTGTCTTCAATTTTGTATAGTTGTATCAGTGATCTTAACGGTAATAAGTCAAATACTCAACACTGTAGTAATGAACACCAAAAACATCTGTCTGTACCTAATGTAGAAATTATACCTATCGATCTGATACTTAAATGAGTTTGAATGGTGAAAACAAGCAGTTGATCGCAAAGATTGCTTTTTACCGCATACATCTTAAAAAGTTATCATAGGAAATAAGTGTAACACCATTTGGTTAAAAGGTAAGCATAACCTTCAGTTGTATTTCAATGAAATCATTTTTAAAGATTATTATTTTTAATTTTTTTAATACAGGAAGCAACATGAGTGAACGAGCATGTTTTATCAGGTGCATTCGGCCGTTCGAGGAAGTCAAGTGCTCGAAAGAGCTGAGGAATATTTCGAATATTACCATCCAGAAATTAAAATCGATTGGATATTCTGAAGCATCAGGATTGAATACTGGTTTTCGCATTTGCACGTCCTGTCGTCTGCGTGTTGATAATCAAGCTCTTTTCATCTCAAACGAGGAACAGCATGTTGCCGGAAGCTCAAAGATGCCAACTACAGTGATAGTACCTGTCGTACCGAGCTGTGAAAGCCTTACAACTGTACCATCAATGACATCAGTTACTTCAGTTCAATCGTACCAAGAATTTACTCAACCAGTCAACATCGAGATATTCAACCGAGGCATTGCAGGAATCCAGGTATCACCGATAGACGTGGGAAAACTCAACTACATCCACTACCCCGAAAAGAAGCACCGTGAAATCAACGAAGGTATTAGAAAGAATCTTTTCAACTTTGAGCCTGAGGCTGACGAAGTGAATGAACTCAAAGAAGTTTTAGAAAACATGAAGGAAAAGTTTTCCAATGCATCCACTGCAAGAAGTGAAAAATTATGAATTTTATCGTTATTGCCTTATTCATGGTCAACACAAAAAGTTATGGATCAATTTAATGCTAGTAGATATATTGCAACAGAGGCTAAGTTGATAAAGGAAGGTCATTCGTCAAAAACCGCAAAATATGGCACAGCCTTAAGTGATGAAACAAAATTGGCAGTCATAATTTTTTTTGAAGATGATGATATAAGCCGGGCAATGCCTGGTCAAGAAGATTATGTGTCTGTGCAGAAAGAAGGAAAACGACAAGCCATTTAAAAAAGATTACTAATGATGACTTTGAGAGAAGCTTATAAACGATTCAATGAAATTCACTGCAATGTAAAAATTGGATTCTCTTCATTTGCAAAACTCCGCCCTAAGCAATGTAAACTTTTAACCAGCTCTGGAACCCACAATGTTTGCGTGTGCACAACGCATGAAAACATCAATCTAATTTTACACAGTTTGAAAAAACTTAACCATTTAAATGATGTAAAAACGTTCACTGACAGCCTACTTTGTGAAAACAAGACAACATATTGCTATCTACGGTATTGTGAAGATTGTCCAGACTCTTCCGCATTAGAAAACATTTTATTAAAACAATTAGAGGAAAAATGCATTGATCAGCTTTCATTTAAACAGTGGGTTACCACGGATAGATGTGATTTAGAAACTATTGTAAAGCCTGCAGACGAGTTTGTTTCATTTTTCTGCTTGAAATTGACAAGTTTGATACCACATGATTTCATAAAAACACAGTAATCTAATTTTTTGAAAACTACACGAAATAATTTGCAAGAAGGTGAATTTTTAGTTACTTGCGATTTTTCCGAAAA